CTCAGTAAAACTCCAGTGGTTGCCTCATACCTCTAGGATAAAATGCAGACTCTTCTAGTTTGACACTCTTAGCCTGTCATGACCAGCCCCGATCCTACCTCTCTAATGTATTGCATGTTATGCACCTTCAAGCATTCTGCTTTTCATCCAAACTGGCCTCCTTGCTGTTCCTCACACAGCATGCTATCTTTCATTTCCATGTCTACAACATGCCTGGATTTCATCCTGTCCTCATTTCTACTTCTTAGAATTTCTAGCTTCCTTCAAAGTTCAACTCAAGCACCATCTCCTACATGAAGGTTTTCTGGATTCCTTAACCCATCTGTTAATGCTTTTCCAACAAAAAAAAACAAATTTGTATGTATTTTGTAGATCCATACATTCATATGTGTATATGTGTGCATACACACTTCTCCCTGCACTAGATTATAAACTCATTGATGTCAGGGACTGTTTCACTTTTGTTTTTGTTTACCCAACACCTAGCACCTGGCACTTAATAAATGCTTGATTGTTTATACACAATTTTGCTGTTGGACTGAACTGGGAGAAGTTACATCCATCCATACACTCATTTCTGTTCCACTTCATCTTAATGTCCCCTTTATCTTACTAGCTTCAAGTTTCATACATGCAGGTTAGATTAGTCTTCTCCTCTTGCAGACCATGAAAATGATAATGTGCTGTAAACAACCTGGCATTTCTAGTTCAAGGTGTTGAATGACATTTTGGTTAAGTGCTTTGCAACCTAGTAGAGTAGAAAAAGCCCTGGATTTAGAATCCAAGCACCTCGATTGAATCCTGGTTCCATTATCATCTGTGTGATCTTGGGCAAGTCATTTCACCTTTGGGAGGAGGGAGCTCATTTTCCTCTATAAAATGTATGGCTTTGTGTGAATGATGTTTCAAGTGTGAATGATGTTTCAAGTTCCCTAGTTCCAAATCCTGTTATGGTCATTTGGTTCCTAGAACTTGACTTTTTCTTTTATAGGATCATAGATGTTTATCCTAAAACCTTATAGATTAGGAAGAAGTCCATGAACTTGTTTATTTCAACAGAATTAGTTTTGTAATCTTATAAGTATTTTATGCAGTTAAAAGCATTTTTCTGAGAAGGGGATCCCTAGGCTTCGTTAGGGTACCCAAGGGCTCTGTGACACCAAAAGGGTAGAATTCCTGTTATATGTCTAGTCTCATTCCCTCATTTTACAAAGGAGGAAACTGAGTTCTAGAGAAGTGAAAGTGACTTGGCAAGGTCACACATTTAGTATCCATCAGAGCCAGAATTCAGTCCCAGATTCTCAGGCTCCAGAGCCAGGGCTTCTTTCTGCCATATCAGACTACCTTTCATTTTGTCCATTGTATATATGTTGGCCATATATGTATATCTATGCTATGTCACAGTTGAAGGTGTTGCTGTTGAGTTACAGCCCCTGAAGATGTAAATTATCATTTTTCTAATACCAGATAGCCCTTTACAGTTTCCAGATGCTTTCAAAGACATCTTATCTAGTTACACTCTTTATACACATTATTAAATATCTGCTGGATAGATATCCCTATAGTAGACACTACACCTTCTTTTAGGCCCCAAAGTAGTAAAAGAAAACCCTTTTGTCATTATAGGAGAAGACAGCCTACAGCTTACTTTCCTGTCTTAATGTTTCTCACTGGATAGTTCTGCTACTTGCAGAAAAATTTCCAATTGAGACAAAACACTGTGGGTCAGAGTAAAGTGAAATTGTCCTGGTTTTTAAAAACTGTATAGTAAAGGAGGAAATTTTGATATTTGGGGTCTGGGGAGGGGGCAGGAGTTTGATGACCTAAAATGATAATGCCACAGAAATAGATACTTCTGACATTCAGAAATTTGTAAAAACCAGAAGACATCTTAAGATAATAGGAAATTGCTCCATTAGAAAAACATGTACGAAGGAACTGCCTTCCTGGAGGGGAAGAGATTAAGGAAATCAATTTAAATGTTTAGATAAAAAAACTTTTTTAAAGGTTGGTAGGATAGCCAAGAAAGCTGATGCACTCTTAGGCTCATTAAGAGAAGAGAAATTGTCCAAGAATAAGGAGGTCCTATAGCTGTTGTTCTCTGCCTCAGTCAGGTCATATCTAGAGTATCATGTTCAGTAATGGGCAGCACATTTTAGGAAGGACATTGATAAGCTGTGGATGGATAGTCAAAGGGAAGGCCACTCAAATGGCTTAAGGCCTTTCATCCATGACCACTTGTCAGGTATTTTGTCATGAGGATTCTTTTTCAGGTATGAGAGATGAACCAGACAGCCACTGATGTCCTTTCCAGCTCGGAAATTCTCCTTTTCTGTGAATCTTGATTCTTACTCCTATCCGCCATATGATCCTTTCCCTTTTTCCTTCCTTTCTCTTATACTCTCTTTCCCTTATGTAATTGGTTTTAGATGAAACATAAAAGAGAGAGAATTTGTTGAGGATGAAATTTAGAGGGCCAGCCCAGTAAAACCTCAAATCTGTAAGTAGGGTTTTTGAAGCAGGGCAAGTACTGATGACTCTTTGCCCTCTAGCTGACTTTAGTAACATGCTTTCATTAGGACATAAATAGCACCTTTCATTCCCTTCCCTTTGGCCCCCCTCTCCCCAGCCACCTCTGCCATGAATATTGTTCAGTGTGATACTTGGAAGCTGAAAGCTGAATATGGTTGTGTATACTGTGAAAAGAGGACTGAATCTGGACTCAGAGATTGTTGTTGTTGAGTTGTTTTTCAGTCTTGTCCAACTCTTTGTGACCCCATTTGGGGTTTTCTTGGCAAAGATACTGGCATGGTTTGCCACTTCTTTCTCTAGCTCATTTGACAAATGAGAAAACTAAGGCAAACAGGGTTAAGTGACTTGCCCAGGGTCACACAGCTAGTAAGTGTCTGAGGCCAGATTTGAACTCAAGAAGGTGAGTCTTCCTGATTCCAGGCCCAGCACTCTATTTTGTTTAGAGGCAGGAGTTTCTTGTTGAAAAAGTGACTTAGTTGTCTCCCTTTCTTGCTAAATCCTCATTTGCTACAGCACTGGAAAAAATTTCTGAGTTCACATCTCATCTTTACTACTTACAACTGTGCAATCTTGACTAAGTGACATAATCTCTCAGGGCCTTAGTTCTTTATCCGTAAAATGGTGGTGGTCAGGGAGGGGCTGGAGTAGGTGACTCCTTTCAGATCTAAATATGAGCCTCTCTGAACTCCAGTATGGTGCTTTCTACTAAATCACACTGCCTACCTTTTGTAATCTGCCTTTTTGCTTATAGTGAAGTATATGATTGGGAAAAACAAACAAACAAAAGTTAGCTAGTGAGGTTAAGGGAGGAGGTAAGCATCGATCTGTTAAAATGCCTTTCAGGTAATCTCTGATTAATGGAAAGTCCCTGCAACAGGTAACCCCCCTACTGGGATAAGATAGTGAATGTTGATACTTGATTGTATACCCTCCATGCTTCTCCAGCAAATCACTCCAGCTATCATCCCCAATCTCTCTTATCTTCAATCTCTCTATATAAAATGACATTTCTTGCCCTATAAACATATCTTTCCCCCATCCTTAAAAGAAAGCAACCTTCTTTGACCCCACTTTCCCTATGTCTTTCCTCCCCTTAGTAGCTAAGCTCCTTGAGAAAACAGTCTATAATAGGTGTCTCTGCTTCCTGTCCTCTCACTCACTCCCACTGCACTCTGGCTTCCAGCCTAACCATTCAGCAAAAACTGCTCTCTCCAAAGTTGCCAGTAAGCTCTTAACTGCAAAATCTAATGGACTTTTCCCAATCCTGATCCTCCTTGAGGTCTCTGTAGCATTTGCCTTGTCAGTCACGTCTCCTGAATACTGTGTCCTCTCCAGGTTTTTGAGACTCTGCTCGCCCATGTTTCTCCTCCTTTCTGACTTATCACTCCTCAGGCCTCTGTTAGTTCTTTGTCCATGTTATGTCCGATGACCATGAGTGTTCCCAAGGCTACATATCCTGAGCCTCTTCTCTTTCCCCTCTATACTAAAAGCCCTTAACCTTTTTGTGTGACGTGGACCACTTTGGTGATCTGGTGAAGCCTATGACCCTTCTCCGAATAATGTTTTTAAATGCACAAAATTTTTAAAATGTAAGATTACAAAGGGAACTAATTATATTGAAATATAGCTATCTATTTTTTTAAGTTCATGGAGCCTAGGTTAAAAATCTGTTCCCTAATATTATTTCGCTTTGATTGTTTCATCAGCTCCCATGACTTAAATTCTCAATCTTTATGCAAATAATTCCCAAAGTGGGGCACAGTGGATAGAGCACTAGCCCTGCAATCAGGAGGACCTGAGTTCAAATCCAGCCTTAGACACTAACTAGCTGTGTGACCTTGGGCAAGTCACTTAACCTCCATTGCCTCCAAAAAAAAAGAAAAGAAAAGAAAAAAATAATTCCCAGAATTACATGGGTCTGAGCTACAGTCACATATCTCCACCTGCCTTTTGGACATCTCAAACTGGATGTCCCACAGGCATAGCACATTCAGCATATCCAAAACAGAACTTGTTATCTTTCCCCAAAAACTTTCCCCTCTTCTGAACGTCCCTGGTATCAAGAGCACCACCATTCCCCTAGTCACCTGCAGGTGTCATTCTCTACACCTCACTCTCAATCCTCATCTCTAATCTATTGCTACATCTTACTGTTTCTACCTTCACAATATCTCTCATTTATGTCCCCTTCTCTGTATTCAGACAGCTACAACCCTACCTGAGGCCTATATTACCTCTCACTTCGCTCAGTGCCTGACACATAGTATATGCTTAGTAAATATTAACTGGCTGTTTCTCAAACAGGGAAAGCATAAACTGGTTATAGTATCATAGTTCCCCTTTTCCATGTAATATTGTTGGATAATGATGATACAGTTGTTTCTCTTGGTATTCTGTTGCCCAATCCTTTTTCCTTGTCTTACTCAGCCATTAAAATTAATTCCTTAACTGCTTTTTTTCCTTTATAGGTCATGAACCTGGTCTTATACAGTTGGTGAATTATTACAGAGGGGCCGACAAACTTTGTCGAAAGGCTTCTTTAGTTAAGTAAGTGTACATTAAACCTTGTTTAATTTTTTTCATGTATGCATTTTTGTCATGTTGAAAAAAATTTTTTTAAAGAAATAGAAAAAAGTTTGCTTTATCCTTATTTGGTAACACACTAGAACTCTGTTATGACAGCTAGGTAGTGTGGTGGATAGAGTGCTGGGTCTGGTGTCAGGAAGACCTGAGTTCAAATCCAGCCACTGACACTTACTAGTAGTATGACTGTGGACATGTCACTTCACATCTATTTGCCTCAGTTTCCTCATCTGTAAAATGAGGATAATAATAGCACCTACCTCAAAGAATTGTTCTGAAGATCAACTGTGATAACAATTATAAAACACTTAGCACAGTGCCCAGCACATAGTAAGCATTTTGTTTAGCTGTTTTTCAGTCACGTCCAACTTTTCCTGACCCCTTTTGGGGTTTCTTGGCAAAGATACTGGAATAGTTTGCCATTTCCTTCTCCAGCTCATTTTACAGATGAGGAAACTGAGGCAAACCAAGTTAATCGACTTGTCTAGGATCACACATCTAGTGTCTGAGGCCAGATTTGAACTCAGGAAGATGAGTCTTCCTGACTCCAGGCCTGGTATGCTATCCACTACACCACCTAGCTGCCCACAATCTGCACTATATAAATGTTAGTTGTTAATATTATTATTATTATATTTGCTTTTTTAAAAAGAGCAGAAGTTAAGGCAAGAAGTTAAAAGTCAAGTTAAGACAAACCTGCCCCTATGACCCTATGTGATGAGAGTTTAGCTTCCTAGGCACCCAAAGGATCCCTCAGTAAGGCAGTCCTGCAGATAAAGCAGTATCCCCATCCTAACACACCCTAGGAGCAGGTTTTAGTGAAAATCACTAATTACACTTTTGTGTCATTCTCTTTAAATCTGTATCAAGGTGCTATGTTTGCTCATTCGTTCTCTTACCCTTTTTTTCTTAAATGATCCAAGTCAGTGTGCATCCTCATCTCTTGGTTCTGTTTCTTTTTCCCCGTTTACATTGTTTTATTTTCCAGATTTCTTTGTATTCCTCAGACTTGTTGGTCTTTAATGGCTCCATTACACGAATATGCCACACTGTCTTTAACTATTTCCTTTTTATTGGACATTTAGGTTTCTTCTACTTTTTCATAATTACTATCATGCTGCTAGAAAAAAAATCTGTGAACAGGTAGCCCTCTTTTTGTTCTTCATATCTTTCAGAGTAAATTGCTAGCAATGCAATTATTGCATCAAATGGTATAATTATCTTTGTAGCTTTCGTGGCATACTGTCAGATTGTCCACTATCAATAAATATCAGTGAATTGTCAAGGCAGCTAGGTAGAACAATGGATAGAGCACTGGAGTCAAGAAGACCTGAATACAAATCTGGCCTTAGACATTTACTAGCTGTGTGACCCTGGGCAAGTCACTTCATCTCTGCCTACCGCAGTTCCTCATCTATATAATGGGGGATAATAATAAAACTTGCCAGCATTGTTATAATGATAAAATGAGATATTTGTAAAGAGCTTTGAAAACCTTAAAGCAATATATAAATGCTATTATTATTGATGAATGTTAATGAATATTAATAAACATGCCTATTTCTCTACAACCTGATGGGCACCTTCTTGATTGCCCTTCCCAAAATGTTCCTTATCTGGCTTTCTTGATTATGACTACTGGGTTGTCATGCCTAGAGTATTCTTATTCCTTTATGGTTCTAGTTTTGGACTTCTTTTGACTCATCCTCTCAGCTAACTTCTGATGGTTTGGGGCTGGCCTTATGCCAAGGTCCTCTATTCATTTACACATGAATAATTTACTGAGGCACTGAAGTAGTATATCGTGAAGCAGCCTTATTTACTGCAGCTTAATTTAGTTTCAGTTTGGATTGGTTTAGAAATGATCTCAGGTTTGATTTTTATATATGTATATATGTATAAAGTAAAAGTATTTATTGTTAAAATAGTAAAATAGGATTAAGGTCAGTAAGTAGAATAGAGTTTGGGTTAATAAGTCACAATAGGTAACAATAACGTAGGTCTCAGTAAGTAACAACTTAAGTCTCAATTGGTATCAAATCTTACCACAATCAGTCATCATGATCAGGGGAATCATCTATATCTGGATCACACGGCTGGGGAATTCCAGATTCAGCCTCCAGAGTCCCAACAGGAAAGTCCTGGGCTACGTGTCCATACCACAGGGGGGACTTCAAAGATGGTTCAGGACCACCTACCTTTTTAGTAATGCCTCCTAACAAAAAGGCAGTTTGCCAAATAAGTGTGTGATTGGTGGAAAAGGAGCTGTTCTCAAAATATCCTTAAGAGCATTCCTGTTTGTGAATATTCACTTCCTGGAGGGTTGGCCAACCCTTCCTGGGAGCAAATACTATAAACAGTCCTTCAACATCTAGCTAGGAATAAGATTAACATGAAAAAAGAGTCAGGATCAAATTTCAGGCATCCTAAGCAAGGTCAGAATGTCTTTTTGAATTCATTCATCACAGGTAGTTGGGCCTGGAGTCAGAAAGACTCAAGTTCAAATTTAGCCTCAGACACTTACTGATTGTGTGACCCTGGGCAAGTCACTTAACCTCTGTTTGCCTCAGTTTCCTCAATCTGTAAAATGAGGATAATTATAGCACCTACCTTGTAGGCTTGTTGCAAGGATCAAATAAAATATTTATAAAGCACTTAGCACAATGCCTGGCACATAGTAGGTACTATATAATTGCTTATTTTCTTTCCCTTTTCCCTTCTTCCCCACTGAGAGGACCTGGGCCTATTGAATAAAGATTGACTGAGGGTAACAACTCCATTCACTTAAGGAAGAGTACTCTTTAGGCAGCTAGGTGGCACAGTGGATAAAGCACTGGACCTGGAATCAGAAAGACCTGAATTCAAATTTGATCTCAGATACTTTCTAGCTGTGTGACCCTGGGCAAGTCACTTAACCTGTCTTCCTCAGTTTCCTTAACTGTAAAATGTGAATAATAATAACTAATTATAGCACCTACCTCCCAGGGTTGTTGTGAAGCTCAAATGAGATGACATTTGTAAAACACTTAGCACAGTGGCTATACAAGCCAGCCACTGTAAGCACATAATAACTGCTCCTTCCCATCCTTTTTCTTCCCAAAGTCATAGGAACCTTAGGTTTAGAATATATACTTTATTATAAATATCCATTAAACTCCCAAAAAAATAAATCCTACCAGAATTTAGGGAATAGTGATTGGTTTCCTCTTATTTGGAAGGGCTTTTTTTACTCAGTTTTTTTTTCAAAGAAAATGTTCTGTCTGCTACTTTTCCTTTTTTTCCAATTTTTTTTCCAAATTAAAAAGTAAAATTTTTTAGGAAGTGGGTTGAAAATATAAATGAGAACGTTTATTAAAACAGACCTCTTCATAACCACATAAGTTGTCTTTCTATGACATTTTAGGTGTTCCATGAGAAGCCAAAGTCACTACAGGAAACACTAGAGTCCAAATACACATGTATAGTCATTTTCTATAGTGGTATTTCCCTGTGAACAGATTTCTAATCAGTCTGTAAATGATCTCCTAAGAGTAGCATGGTCTGGTTGTGCTTAAAAAAAGCTTGGATCTTACATCTCCGACACACAAGAACTGATCATGCTTTACTCTGGGTTCTTCATGATTATTCTCTGAATGACAAAAAGGATTCATTCGTAACTGGTGCTGAAGTAAGAGTTATAGCAATACCAAAGTATTCCTAGAACCATGGCTGTGGTTAACTTTTCTGTGATCCTAGACTGTCATAGCTTTTTATTGTTAAATATTTAGCTTTTCATTATTGATGGGTTCCAAAATGTACTGACTTAAAGGCAGCTAGGGTACAATGAATAGTGGCTTGGACTTGGGAGTCAGGAAAACCTGAATTCAAATCTAACCTCAAACACTTACTAGTTGTGCGACGCTGGGCAAGTCACTTAACCCTGTTTGCCTCAGTTTCCTCATCTGTCAAATGAGCAGGGAAAGGAAATGGCAAACCATTCCAGTATCCTTGTCAAGAAAACCCCAAATGGGGTCACAAAGAGTTGGACAGGACTGAAAAACAACTGAACAACCTAGAGAACACAATTAGGTCAAAGTAAAGACATTTATTGAGATGATATCCTGAGAAAATGAGCTGCAAAACTTTCCCCTCCACCAACAGATGCCGTGGCCAATGGATGGGGGGTAGGGGATAGGGGTGAGGGTGACAAATCCCTTCTCTCTCCCCCAAGAGGCAGAGATTCCCTCTCTGGAGCTGAGGTCTTACTCCATAACTGGCTGTCTTCTTGACTGCCAGTGAGAGCCCACACTGGCAGTCAAGAAGAGAGCCAGTTATGGAGGAAGACAGAGAGCCCACACTGCTCAGAGCTGTCTTCTGCCTCTCTTCTTTTTTCCTGAGAACTGTCTGACTTTCTGAAGAGCCACCTGGGGTGTGGCTGAGCTCCCATCCAGTCAGTGGCTTAGCTGCCCCCTAATTCCACCAAGCTTGATTGAAACCATTCTTCCCACCTTGTAAAGGGGCCACAAAGTGCCAGTACTTCTTTATACTTCATTGTTGTCTGTGTTAACTGCCCCTTACGTTCTGTAATTTCATCAGCCGGTCTGAGGTAGCGTCAGTTGCTTAGGTGTCCCCAGATCAACAACCTCCACCTCTCCTCCCCCAACTACAGAAAAAAAAGTCTAGTTCCCTTAACCCTCTCCCTGATGTGAGGCTAAGAGGAGTGGATTGTAGTGAGGAATTCAAATGTGACTGCGAGTTGACAGGTTTGCTAGGCGTCTTTTACTTTGATTTCTAAGATTAGCTCTGAGTCTTCAGTCTGTTTTGTGTGTTCACTAAGTTCCTTCATTTCTACTTGAATACTAGCCTGACGTAGTAACTCAAATATAGTAAGGAGCCAACGAATATTTGCTTATTTGATGTCTGAATACATAATGAATCATTCAACAAGCAATTATTCAGCATCCACAATGTTCTAAGCACTATCCTAGATGCTAGGGATACAAAGATAAAAAAATGAGGTAATCCCTGCTTCTGTCAAGCTTATGATCTATTGATGAAAACGATAGCTAGGTGGCCTGGTGGATAGAGCACTGAAATTGGAGTCAGGAAGACTCATCTTCATGAGTTCAAATCTGGCCTCAGATACTTAATAGCTGTGTGATCCTGGGCAAGTCACTTAACCCTGTTTGCCTCAGTTCCTCATCTGTAAAATGAGCTGGAGAAGGAAATAGCAAACCACTCCAGCATCTTTGCCAAGAAAACCCCAAATGGGGTCATGAAGAGTCCAACATGACTGAAATGATTGAATAAAAACAACAATAACAACAGCATTTATATAGCACTTTAAGGTTTACAGCATGCTTTACATACCTTTCCTCATTTAATCCTCATAACAAACCTCTGAAGCAGGTGTGATTAACAGCCCCCTTTTACAGATGAAGAGACTAAGGCATAGAGAGGTTAAGGGACTTGCCCAGGGTCACCCAGCTAGTATTTGAGACAGAATTTGAACTCAGGACTTCCTAACTCCAACTCTAACACTCTATCCATTGTGCTAACTAGTTGCATATATCTACATACATAAGTAAATGGGAGATTCATAAAAAATAGAAATAAGATTATTTGGAGAGGTGGGAGAGACATGAGCAACCAGGAGAATGAGAAAAGGCCTCAAGCAATGGGTGCTCCTTAAGCTGAGTTTGAAGGAAGTTAAGGATACACAAAAGAAAAGATAAGTAAAGGTATGTTTTCCAAGCTTGGGGGGAGGGGGGATGACAAGCTAGGCAAGGAGGTGGAAGTGATTAAGTTTTGCGTGTGAGGCCAGTTTGAATTGAACGTATCAAGTGTGTGAAGGGGAGCAATGTGTCATTAGCTTAGAGAGGCAGAGTGGAGCCAGATCGTGAACGGCTTTAAATACCAAATAGAGTAGTTTGTATTTTATCTTAACGGGAACAGGGAAGCACTAGAGCTTATATTTTTTTAAGGGAGTGGCACAATCAAACCTATACTTTAGGAATATGATTTTAGCAGCTATGTGGAGGATGTATTAGAGAAGGTAAAGGCTTGAGGCAATAGCCAGCTTCTTACCATAATTACTGGGGTCCTCTCTCCATTCGAAGATGTTTTCTTTTTCTTCAGAAACTGAAGATAGCTCTGCACTAACAAAGAGAACTGGAGAATTGAGCAAATTGTTTAAATAACTCAGGTCCCTTCTACTACCACCCCTGCTGTTTTCCCCTCATAAATTATCCAGATAATTGAGGCAAAAGTGCTTTTTTGTTTTTTTAGCTTGTGTTATCCAAAATAACTTCTTTGACTTTTCATCTTGCCAGTGTAGGTCTGGCTCAGTTTTTCAAGAAAGGTATTCTTGTGCAAGAAATGTTGATTTGAGAAGTTGTACACTGAAGGATAACAGGAAATATCTCTAGTTCTTTGTAGATACTATAAAGTTATTTTGGACTAAGTGCCATGTTAGAATGAGCTGGAGTATGCTTTTGACATTCCATTTGGCAAATGGACTCAACCCTGGGGGTATATCGGATTTCCCTCACGTAAGGGCCCAAGGACAAGAGCTAAGCCAGAAAAGAGTCCAGTCTTTGACTAGTCTATTCTTTCTGTAACTTCTTGTCACCTAGGTTGAGGAACCCAGGCCTTCTTAAAGAGTGATCAGAGTGACAAATTGGACTTATTGAAACATGGATTTTTCTCCTACCTCCCACTCCCCTGCCCCAGAAGATAGTCTTTGGAATTAAAAAAGGGCGACTGACCATCTGTTGTTATCCATTAGGTTAATCAAGACAAGTCCTGAATTGACAGAATCATGCACATGGTTCCCGGAATCCTATGTGATTTATCCGACTAATCTCAAGACTCCTGTGGCCCCGGCATCACCCTCTCAGAATGGAATCCGGCATTTGATAAACAATTCAAGGACAGATGAAAGGGAAGTCTTCCTTGCCTCCTATAACAGGAGGAAGGAGGGTGGGGAGGGCAACGTATGGATAGCCAAATCCTCGGCAGGTGCCAAAGGTTAGTCTCATAGCCACGGCAAAACTCGAAAGAATATTTTTCTTCCTCCATTTTATCATTGGCCTTTGTGTTTGAAGATGACGCTTTGTAATTTCAGTGATACCTTTTTGCTTCCCTAAAAATATGATGCACTGGATCATCTTAGCCTGAGTAGCAAGATTCAATCTGTCTCCAAGACCAGTTATGAAATAGTGAAAGTTTTAGATGAACTGGGAGTAGAACTACATAGTTCCTGATGGCAAATCAAGTTTTCTGTCCATGAGATCAAAGTGGAATTGATGAGTCCTGTCTCCGCAAATGAATGACGTCATATTGAACATTATGGCAGTCTTATCAATTCTAGCTTTTCTTTGGAAACTGGTACCAAAAAGTAGCCATTTGTAAGCATCCCTGTGTTATACACCTGCCAAATCTCCAAATCACTGCTCTAGCTAGTAATGTTTAAAGGAGAGAAACTGAATAGTTAGCCTCCCTTTTGAGTTATTGGGAATCAGCACAGTTTCTCCTTATAATTTTGTTTCTCTTCTATTTACCTAATAAATAAGTGGACTAATGTTTGTGGGCTTTAGGGAAACTGCTTTTTAAGCTTGGGCATAATGATATCAGGGCAGCTTAAGGACTGTTGCAAAAGTAATCTATGCAGTTATTCTGAAAAAGGTTTTATGTGTCTAATCTCAACCATGTCCATCATATAGCATGTGGACGTATGATCCTAGAAATCAGGAGACTTGGCTTCTTCTAGATCTGGCTCTGTCACTGACAAACTATATGATCTATGGTAGGTTGCTTTGTAGATTTATGGAACTGATGATTTCAAAGGGACTTCAGAGATCATCCAGTCTGGCCCCTACCCAAATTATGCCTCCAGCAGTGATAATTGAGCCTTCTGCACAGTGATTATTAACTTTCCCCTTCTTCTCCCCCCACTCCCAAACAGCACCTTGTATAACTGAATTGATTTTTTAATAATATTTTATTTTTCCCCAGTTACATGTAAAGACAATTTTTAACATTCGTTTTGAAAAAAAAATTTAAGTTCAGAATTTTCTCTCTCCCTGCATCACCTCCCCTCTCTGAGACAGTAAGCAATGTGATATCAGTTACACATGTTCAGTCATGCAAAACATATTACCATATTAGTCATCTACAACTAGAATGGTTAAGAAGCTGACTCTTCATCCACATGACTCCTCTTTCATTTCTTTGAAGGTCACTATTCTCATCATGTACCCCTCTATGTCTTCTCTAAGCTAAAAATGCTCCTTTCTTTCAGCTGTTCCTTGTATTGCATAGCTTCAGCTCCCCTTACCGTCCTGATTACTCCCTTCTAGACATTTTTTACCTTATGAATGTCCTTTCCAAGATCTACTGCCCAGGACTGGACATAATATTCCAAATGTGATCTGACAAGGGTGGAGTATAGTGGAGCTAATATCTGTCCTAACTCTGGATATTCTATTGCTACTGTTGTACCCTAATATTACATTTATTGGTGGCTCCCACATCACACTGTCAGCTTCTAGTGAGTTTGCAGTCCACTAGAATCCCTAGATCTTTTTGACATGAACTGTTTCTAATTCTCAGAGCTGTACCTGTACAGTCGATTTTGAGAATTCAAGTGATGGAATTTGTAATTATCACCATTAGATTTCAACTTGTCAGCTTCATCCCATTTCTGGAGCCTGTCAAGATCACTTTGAATCCCAGTTCTGTCATCCAGGCTATTAGCTCGCTAAATCTCCCCACTTCACATTACCTGAAAATTTAATAACTATGCCAAGTCGGCTTCCCAAGGAAATGTTTAAAATGTAAACAATGGATACAGCAATCTATCAATGACAGAACCCTGTGACATTCCACTAGTTATCTGTCAACTTGTTCTAAACCCACCTAACTGTTCTGTCATCCAGTCTATATCTCTCTGTACGGCCATATTTCCGGCTCTGAGTTTCCTCGTCTGTTAAATGAGGTGACTGAAATCAATCTGGTAAAAGTTTCTTTCAGCTCTCACATTCCTATGATTCTGGATTTGGATGCAGAAGACCTAGTTTTAAATCTTAGCTCTGTAACTTATAACCTATGTGATGATGGTCAAGTCCCTTGGTTTATGAGCCTCAGTTCATGTGTAAGGTGAGAATGTTGCACTAAGATTCTAGGATTCTCCACGGGTGGAGCAAATTGTAGCATCAGAGATTTTCAGTTGAAACATACGTTACAGGCCCTTTAGCCTACTGGATGAGAAAACTGAGGTCTGGAGAGGTTCAGTGTCTTACCCAAAGGCCCAGAGGGAATAAATAATGAGAGTTGGAGTTTTAAGTCCAGTCTTCTCACTCCAAAGTCAATGCACTTCCCACTCGATCAGCCATGTGACCTTGGGAAAAATAGAATCTGAGATTTGGAAGGGATCACAGAGGTTATCTTGTCAAACTCATGCCTGAACAGTAATCTTCTCTATGACATTCCCTAAAAGTGGTCACCAAGTATTTACTTAAAAACCTTCAATTAAGAGGGACCCACTATCTCCTAAGGAACCCTGTTCTATTTTTGGACAAGTCTAATTACCAGAGTGGGCAGCTAGGTGGTGAAGTGGATAGAGTGCTGGACCTGGAGTCAGGAAGACTCATCTTCCTGAGTTCAAATCTAACTTCAAACACCAGTTGTGTGACCCTGGGCAAGTCACTTAACCCTGTTTGCCTCAGTTTCTTCATCTGTCAAATGAGCTGGAAAAGGAAATGACAAACCACTTCAGTATCTTTGCCAAGAAAACCCCAAATGGGGTCACAGAAAGTCAGACACAACTGAACAACAACAACAAAATTAGCAATGTATCAAATTAGCACAAGAGATTATAAGAGACCTAGTTTAAACCATCCCTGAATAAGAATTAGCAACAAATGTCATCCAGCATCCAGCACTGAAGATCTTCTCTCCTTCCTAAGGCAATTTATTCCAATTTTGGATAGCTCTACATTTTTGGGCTCTTTTTTCAATTTTTGCTTATATCAAGCCTACTTCCACCTCGTTTTATAGATGAAGAAATTTGAAACTCCTAAAGGTTACATGACTCCATTACTCCTACTTCTGCCGTCTTAGATCCAAGCAGAAAAAGCCTAATTCTCTATTCCACATTAAAACCCTTCAGATACATGGAAGGTTATTCTTCTATCTACCCTAAGTTTTTTCTCCAGGGGAAACATCTCATCCTAGTCCCCTCACTGTTCTCACTCCCCTCCTGTGGACATGCTCTGATCATTAATGTGCCTCCCAAATTGTGCCACTCCTGACTGCTCACATCACTCCAGATGTCCTCTGATTCGAGCTAAGTACAATGAAGTAGGCACAGCTGTCATTCTGGACACTCTCTATGCCTCTGTATTCAACCTAAGATTATATTAGGTTTGGTAGCTGCTATGTCACATTGTTGATTCAAATTGAGTTTGTAGTCCATTAAAACCTCCAAATGATTTTGACTTGAACTGATCCATATAGCGGATAAAAAGTCTGGGGCTTTTAGGTCTATTTTTTCAACTCTCAAATGAGGGACTCAGATGAAATGACCTCTCAGTTTCCTCCAAAATGTAACATTCTAAAATTCTGAGCCAGTGTTGGTATAGTGGGAAAAGCACTGAACTTAGAATCAGGAAACCTAGATTCAAATCCCATCTCTCCATAGAGAAGTCTTGAAATGTAATAAAACTACATGAAACTTTACTAGGTTTGACCCATGACTTCAGCCTATCTAGATCTCTTTGACTTGTGGCTTTGGTGTCCACCATTATAACTATCCCAGCTTTGTGTGATTTGTAAATCTGATAGGCATACTGCCTGTGCTTTTATCCAAATTACTGCACTTACAATCTTTAAGCCTCAGTTTCCTCATCTATAAGTGGAACTGATTCTTTACCTTGCTACTTCATAGGGTTCTTATGAGAGGTAATGAAAATGTGAATTATTTAAAGCACTAATGTAAAATGTTACTAATATGTTAGAGAACCCAAAACCAGACGAGAGAAATTTTGCTTTGAGAATTGAGGAAATTTTGTGCTCTTCTAAATGAAATCAGTGTGCTTTTGTGAACTAAAAAATAATCCTCATGGCTAATAATAATAATAGTAACATCTAACATTTATATTGGTTGTTGTCCTTCTTTCTTGAAGCAGACCAAAATGATATCGCTATGTTAGAGGCAAGTTACAGTGCATCTAACTGTGGCTAATCAGATCAATACAAGCTCAAAATGCGCCACCAACAGATCGGGCACAAATAGTCCGTGTGAACATTTGGGGTGGATTCTCTAAATTTGCACATCTCACGTCTCTTTTGAGCTATTTCAATTCTGCTTTGCTCATAGAGCACAGCATCTTCTTTGATGTGGGCACGCCATGCTGAGTGGTCCCAGGGCAGTGTCTCCCATGTCACACAATCAATTCCAAAGTTCTTAAGAAAGACCTTGAGAGTGTCCTTCTTCTGACCATGTGAGCACTTGCCCTGTATGAGTTCTCTATAAAATAGTCTTTTTGTCCAGTGTACCTTTGTCCTTCGAACAATGTGGCATTGTCTTCTGTTTTCCTAAAAAGCAACAACTTGGTAACATTTATATGCACTTCGGTAAATGCTTTACAATTATTATCTCATTTGTCCTCATAACATCCCTGAGAGGTAGATGCTATTATTGTTCCTATTTCACAGATGAGAAAACTGTGGCAAATAGAGGTTAAATGACTTGCGTGGGGTCATATAGCTGGTAAGTGTCTAAGGACAGATTTGAGCTCGGGTCTTCTTAAATTCTAGGCCTAGTATTCTATCCACTGTGCCACCAAGCTGATGAGCTTGAGAACATTCTAGTGATCTGCCCTTGTCAAGAAAAAGGAAAGCACTAACAGACCATATATAAAATAATAATTCATCCTTAAATAGTGATTTAATGTTTATAAGCCACTTTCTTCAAAGAAGTGAAATGAAACAGCTTGCTCTGGGACTGAGTTCATTTGAGAGGTGAGGACAGAGATGTATATTTTTGTGTCATCATCACGGATATGATAGAAGTTATGAGTATGGATGAGCTCACGAAGGGACTGAATGTCTATAGGGAGAGCAGGACCTTGGTGGATACTTAAGAGTTAAGGCGTATGTAGGATGATAGTCATCCTATAGTCCTCTGTTAATTAGTAAAATTTCATCTGGAAAAAATTTAAAACTAGAGCTATAAAGTGAAAAATATAAATTTCAAGTTAAACATCCCCTTATAAATCTTACTTATTTTAATCTGCTGTTTTCCTTAATGCAAGAGTGACATTTATTTAGTATACTTATTCATGCTGAAACAGTAATGAAATCTCATCTCCAATAGAAACCTGCCAGTATAATACTCATGCTGTTGTATTAGATTTATGCTGAGGAAAGCATATGCTGGACAAGAGAACTTTAATGATCTTTTCAGACCCTAACAAAATCCGTTGATGGTCAGACTCTCTCAAATGGAAAGAGGAAGGAAAGCATGTGTAGGTTACTGGATGGTATTCTTGGAAGACACCAACTCCCATTTTGGTTTTATGTGGGTTTCTCCCCCCCCTTCTGTGAATTGAAATGACTTGCTTTCTTTCCCCTGTTAGGTGAAGGCATTCTTATTTCTTCAGAGGCTACAGAACTTCTGGATTTTATAGATAACCAAGGACAAGTGCATGTGATTCAGAAATACCTTGAAAAGCCTTTGCTTTTAGAGCCAGGTCACCGCAAATTTGATATTAGGTAATATTTTAATTCATATTTCTGGGTTTTTTTATACTTAAAAAAATAAATTATGAAAATGACAAGGGTGGTCCAAGGCATGTTTGTTAAATCCTTTCACATTATTATTAATAGATTCAAAGAATTATATTATATGCATATAAGGAAATGTTGCACAATATAGTGGACAGAATGCTTGCCTTGAAGTAGAGGAGGCCTGTTGTTAAGTTCTGCCTCTAGCTTATACTGACTGAGTGACCCTAGTCACTCAGTCAGCCTGTAACCATTTATAAGGTGCCTGATATGTGCCAAGGGCAGCTAGGTGGCACAGTGGATAGAGTACTGGACTTGGAATCAGGAAGACTCATCTTCATGAGTTCAAATCCGGCCTCAGACAATTACTAGCTGTGTGACCCTGAGTAAGTCACTTAACCCCGTTTGCCTCATCTGTAAAATGAGCTCCAGAAGGAAATTTGGCAATATCTTTGCCAAAAAAATCCCAAAATGGAGTCATGAAGAGTGAGACATGACTAAAAACAACTGAACAAAAATATGTGCCAGGCATTTTGCCAAGTGCTAAGGATATGAAGGAAAATAAAATTCCTGCTCTTGAGGTACTTTAAGCAGATCTCTAAGACTTTAAGTGACAAATAAGTTGAGGATGTGCTTCAGTGGAAGGAGTTTCTCACAAAGGATTTCCTATAGCAATGAAATCCCAAGTCTAAACAAAAAAAAATTATTTCTATTAAAGTCAGGTTTTTGTTTTTCCAAAAGAACCAAAACCCTTTGTTTTATTATAGACAATTTTACCTAGTGAAATTAGGTGACTTAGTTTCTTGTAATTTCAAAAAGAAACTGAGACTAACAAGAAGGATTCCACAAAATAAATAAATAATGTGGAAAGAGGAGGCTATTCCCTGCCACAGATAATGTGTAGCACAATATCAATGTCTTATTTCCATCCAGCTCTTTATGAGTTTCATGGCTGTGAGATTATCTTTGGAATTTGGTTTATTGTCCAGAGCCTCATTTATCCTAGTCTTAAGAGAGCCAGGCAAAAGGATTGACTGAAGAGAAGAGAAGGGTGTGATGTTCTCTTCTGACCAAAGCAACCCTAAGGTCATCCGAGGACACCGTCAGACAAGAGTGTATATTCTGTGATATCTTTAATACTAGCTCACAGCAGGTATTTCAGTCTTTCCCTGAAGGATATGTACTCTAAACTGATTATTACTCATCAACTAGGATTTCAGTTATCCAAATCTTGTTGATCATGGAGCAAAAAGTTATTTAATGAATAAACTGAACTGCTACTGTCTGAGTTAGTAATTATTTACTGTTTTTCTTGAAGAGGCAATTCAAAATGCTTTTTTATCTGGGGATAACAAATCATTTCACTGGGAGATTCTTATAAGCCTAATGTTTTATATTCAGGAAGTCCCTGTGATTTCCCTGGAAATCACTTCATTTCAGTGATATAAAAAAATTACATTGAGGCAGGTTATTAATTGTCATAAGGTGACACAAGATAAAGAACCAAATTTCTGATAAAAGACCATTTAGATTGAGCTATTACTCTTACGGAAAAGTTCTTCTCCCTGGATGATCACACTGCCTCTTTAGTAACTTTTAATGCAGCTAGATCAAGGGGTTTCTATGCCCTGGAAAGGTTCAAAAATTGTGTGTCCTTTTCCATTGCAGGCTTTGAGTTTCATTGTAACATATGATGTAACTCATTACAAATAGCTGTATAACAAGGAGAAGGAGATTTTCTGGTATTAGAAATATATAAATGTATAAACATGAATAAAAAAGATGTTACCTGGGCAGCTGCCCATTTTGCCTACTCCTGGGTCTGACTTCAGCTTTATTCTTTCCTTCCTTGAATCTCCTCACCAGGTTAAACCAGCTCCAGAATGTTTTTCTGTAAGATGATCTAAATGTGCTACCCATATATTCAATGTAGTTAAGTCTTAAAGTTACCAACACAAACACTGTAAGAATTTATTTAATCTTTTGGGTTGAACTATGCTTCTTTCTTGAGCAAATTTATGGCAAATGGTGAAAATAATCACCTCAGCACATTCTTGTGATATCTGAGTCTTTCATATGCATGGGTAGAAAAGTGACTGTTTTCTTTTTTTCTGGCAGGAGCTGGGTCCTAGTGGATCATCAATATAATATCTACCTCTACAGAGAGGGCGTGCTTCGGACCTCTTCGGAACCATACAATATCACTAATTTCCAAGATAAAACTTGCCATTTGACCAATCACTGCATTCAAAAGGAATATTCAAAAAACTATGGGAAATATGAAGAAGGGAATGAAATGTTCTTTGAGGAATTCAATCAGTATCTAATAAGTGCTTTGAACATTACGCTGGAAAATAGTATCTTATTACAAATCAAACAAATAATAAGGTAATTTCTTTGTATCTTTTTGTTATCTCTGGCAATTTCAAGTGTAGGTTTGGCTTTGTTCCCCTACATGTAAAGGAGTCCCCCTCACTCACCCTTCCCCAAGAATGTAGGCTGCTTCGTGGATCAAGCTGAGAGAGGCAATTGTTAGGGTAATAATAATAATAACAATAATAATAACAACTGATATGTGTATATGGAAAATTGAGGTTTGCACAGAGTTTCAACTACACTCTCAGTGGTGTCAAACTCAAATCAAAATGGGAACCGTTAATCATATATAAGGATCCTTGTGGGGTACATATTGATTTAGAAAACCACATATTACATTATTAGTATTTTATTTTATTTTGACTTAATTTCTTAAATATTTCCCAATTACATTTTAATCTAGCTCAAGATGTACTCCCAATGTTGTGGGCTGCATGTGTCCTGCAGGCCACACATTTGACACTTCTGACCTACATTATCCCATCTGATCCTTTTGACAACTCTGTGAGGAAGGTATTATAGGTATCAGTCCCTTAGGATGAGAAAACTAAGGTTTGAGAGGTTATCAGAGTTATCCACCTCTGTATTTGAACCCAGGTCTCTGCTGACCCCAAATCCAGCACTTCCTTTCAAGAGAACCCATGAAATGGTGTTGGCCCTTTTTTTTCCTTGATGTTGTGTTTTAGGGAAGGTGACTGAACTGAGAACCATGGAGTATTAAAATGGCACCACCTTAAACTTGCTTAAAATATTATACTTTTTCATATTTATACTCGTTTGATTATTACAACCGTATGAGTTAAAAAGGACAGGTGATGGTCTTCTGATTTTATTGATGTGGAAACGATCGCAAAGAGGCTAAATGATTTACTCCAGGTTAATGGTATGACTAGCACTAGAATTCAGGTCTCCTAATCCCTAGTCAATCAGTCTTTTAATACTAGTCCATGGTATCTATCATATGTTCAAATAAGCATCCTGGGTTTTATTTTTTTTTTTATTACATTGCCTCTATGTTGGCATTCTTTGTGTCCCCGAGTGACAAGTAAGCAAATAGAAGCACAGGTCATTGATGCTTGCTCTCTTTTTATTGGTCACAAATTGGCCAAAGGAGTTTCCTAGTTGGCCTTGCCCTGAAGGAATGTATGTCCTGCTGGGAATTACTTTCTACTTGAGATAATTCAGAAAGAGGCTTTTGGGACATCTGTGTTCTGAGAAGGTAGAGAATCAAAATTAAATCCTGGTTGCAATTTAAGTTACTTTGTAATAGACATTCCAGTCAGTACTACTAGATGACAGAAGAAGAGGAGCAAACAGTACTTTTCCAACAAGTAGTGACTGTGGGTGGAACAAAAAAAAAGCCCTTGTATATAAGTTGCTCACTAATTAATTGTAGTTTTTGTCTGATTCTTGGGTCAAAATATTTGTCCTATATACTTTTGTGGGTCTTATCATTCAGAACAAACTGGGCGTAATGGAAGATATCCATCCTAATCCACTGTCTGAAGTTTAACCAATTGATTATTTTATAAGTAGGATTGGTTACAAAAAAAATATATTTAGTGCCTGGATTTGTTATGGATTCTCTTTTGACAGGGTATACCAAACTGCTATTGACTTGATTCACCTTCCCCCCCAAATTAGTTCACTCTTTGTGGAAAATTCAGTTTACTGAATTCATAGAACTCCTCTAGAGTTCTTCACTTATGGCCTTGTAGCTACTTTGAGCATGGAATATTTCTGTTAAGGTACAAGCAACTGAGATGGGAATTAGCCTGTAATAGCAATATACAGGGTGTCCCAAAAGTCTTAGTGTAGTTTTAAGCTTATATTTCAGTCTAATTAAATTGATGGCAATTTTTCTTTGTGAATTTTTAAGAGTATTTTTTCCAGTTACATGTAAAGACAATTTTTAACATTCATTTTTTTAAAATTGTGAGTTCCAAATTTTCTGTATTTTAAAATTTTATTGATGTCTTCTGTTTTCATGCCATGGTTATTTCACAAGACAGAGCCCTTCTCAATTGAACCCTCTCATCAAAAAAGAAAAACAGTCTGATAGAATTTACCCCACTCGTACTGTACCCATAATCTCTACCTCTGTCCTTAAAATAGTGAGGTATGTTTTACCATCTGCTCTCTGGGACTCAAATTTACTGCCTTCTAGTGCCATTTTCATTTAATGTTATTCTGTTCATTATCTGCATTGTTCTGCTTCTGTTCATTTTGTTCTATATTAGTTCATGCAAGTCTTCTCATATTCCTCTGAATTTATCACATCTGTCATGTTTTACAACCTAATAGTGTTCATCTATCACAGTTTTTCCATCCATTCCCCAGTTGATGGATAGCCACTTTATATCCAGTTTTTGCTACCCCCAAAAGTGCAGCTAGGAATACTTTGGTATTTGGTATGTGTAGATCTTTTCTTTTTTTGTCTTTGACCTCCTTGGGGATATATGCCTAGGATTAGGATCTCTGGGTCAAAGGATATGAACAGTTTGCTGAATTATGTTTTATAATTTTCAAATTGTTTTTAAGAATGCTTAGACCAATTCATAGCTTCAACAGAATTGTATTAGTGTGTCTGTTCATTTTTATCACATTTGCCACTTTGAGGATAACTTAATAGCATTTTGCTAAGGACCCATGTTAGTACAGACCAATAGACTAAGGATTGGAAGTGAATGGAATTGATGGGAAATAAAAGCATTATTGATCAAATTGATGATCAAATTGATTGGTGATGATCAAATTGAAAATGTGGCCAGAGTGGAGATGGACTTCTAACTGGACTAACCCTCTTGAATTTAGAAACACTGTCACCATGGAGCTGAGAAAAAAAGTTCTTTCCTGTAGAAAGAAGAGCAGAGCCCACATCCCTACCACACCAGCTGAGGGTCTGCTTCCCAACTTCTTTTTTTCTCTATAGCTCCCCAAAACTTCTTCCAAGTCTGAAATCCTATGAGTACAAGAAACAAGATAAGGAAATAAAAAATGCTTAGCAGTTTTAGTGGACTACCAAAAAGCTAGTGTGATCTTGGGCTTCATTTAAACAAGTGTAACATCTAGAACAAAGGAGATAACAGTCCATTCAATTTAACAAATATTGTTGCTGTTCAGTCATCTCTGTCATGTCTGACTCTTTGTGATCCCATTTGAGGTTTTCTTGGCAGAGACTGGAATGGTTTGCCATTTCCTTTTCCAGCTCATTTTACAGATAAGGAAACTGAGGCAAATTGAGTTAGGTGACTTGCCTAGGGTCATATAGGTAGGAAGTGTCTGAGTCTAGATTTGAACTCAGAAAGATGAGTCTTCCTAACCCCAGGCCTGGTACTCAACCCACTATGCCACCTAGCTGCCCATATTTATTAAGTGTTTGCTGGATAAAAACTACTGTACTGGTAAATAAAAAAAAACAAACCTCTGCATTGGTCTGAGCACACTGAGTGTATTGTGTTCAGTTCTGACTGCTGTGTTTTAAGAAGGACATTGTCTAATTAGAGTGGTGTGCCTGGAGATCAGCCAGTATGAAGGGACTCAAAATTATAACATATGAAGGATACTTAAAAGAACAGGGTGTGACATTAACTCTAGAGGAGAAATCTTGGGGGACTTGTGGATGAGGTGAAGAATGTAATGGATACATTCAGATAGTTGAAGGGTTGTCATTTGGAAGAGGAATGCTATTTATCCCCTGTGTCTCCACAGGAGAAAACTAGGACTAATGGATAGAAATTACAGGGGAACAGATTTCAGGTACCTTTGTGAGCACAGTTCCAAATAAGTTTGCTAATACTGGAAAATGGAATGAAGTGCCAAGTGAGATAGTAAAATTCCTGTCACTGAAGATGTTTAAGCCAAAGCTAGATGACTACCTGTAGATAAGATTCACACAAATCAAATAGGACATTGATCTAGATGATTTCTAAGGTCCTTAAATCAAATAGGACATTGAACTAGATGATTTCTAAGGTCCTTTTCAATGTTTAAATTCCAAGGGGAGAGCAAATAATAAGGTGGTTGGCTTGTTAGAAATAAAACACCTCCAAATCCAGCTTTGTCTTTCAGGCTAAACTTACATACATTTTTAGCCTTTGCCTGTTTTTCCTGTCCCATAATTAGAGGCTATCCCATTGAATTCAAGAATGTAAGAAAACAGACATGTGAGTATTAAGAATATGGTATGCTGGGTGAAATAAAGGAGGCCTATGGTCATATACAAGCTGCTTATGTTAAATAAATTGTTCTTGGGTTTGGATTTTTTAAATAGTATAGCATAAATGCCTTCCCCCCCCCCATTAGAAAGATAGAAGGATGCTATGCATTTTTTTAAAAAGAGCAAAAAACTTTATCACTTTATGCCTTAAAATCTGAAATACTTTGTTATCTCTTTAAATAAGAATTTTAAAATCCAGTCTCTTTTTTTCTGTAAGAAAACCAAAATCTCTTTCTAGGGGAAGAGCAAAATTATAGATTATCCATCCTCAAGGAAGTCAAACTTATAGGGAAGAATTCCTAAAAAAACAACAACAACAACAACAACAAAAATCCTCATTTGATTTGACTATCTTTGCTAGCTATTGTCAAATATCTCTCTTCCCTTTCTTATCTAAATTCAAGCATTCTATACTAAGTGCATCCACTTTTCTGTCACTCCTTTCAAAACCCTCTTTAATCTGACTTTGACCTCATTACTGAACTGAAATTACCCTCTCCAAAATCATCTTAATGAACAATTCTAATGCCCTTTTTTCTATCCTGTAGCTCCTGAAGGGAGGGTCAGTATTTTTTATCTTCTTTGTATCTCCAGCTCTTACCTAAGTGCCTGGCTCTTAGTAAGTACTTAATAAATGTTTACTGTGAAGTCCCGAAACATATTTGGTGATGAAAAGTTAATGCTTCTAAAGCTTTTATTTACTGTATGCTTAAATATGGCAATCATGTTAGAACATAACCATAAATAAAATATATTCAGTAGTCTGAGGTTAGTTTTTGTTCTGTTATTCAGC